AACATTTAGACGTTAAAATTTTGTTTTCATAAAATTTGGCATCTTTTTCATCATGCTATGCTCTCTTTTTTTAGTGATCTCATGGAGTTACCTATAAACACACACAAATAGATGCACACACACACACAGATATAAACAATGATATATATATGCACACATACACACTGGCTGAATTACTTGCACCTTGTTGCAGGTCACACACTTTTCACAGAAATTTCAGTGTGGGGGAGGGGGTCATGCAAAAACAGCTTGATATGACCCCTTTGATATTTATTTGATGCCATACTTGATTATATGAATTCATGAACATATTTCAACATTAATATGACAGCTGAATTGTCACAACAAATATGTATTGTAAGGCACTACCCACTGATTGGTTATTTCTTGCTCAACTCTACGTCCATATTGTCTCATTTTGATCTTGCTGATGTGACCTCCATTTTCTGGCTTTCTCCTTCTATATTTTGGATAGGAATCATTTCCTTGTTCAAATTTAAATTTAATTTAAATCAAATGGAAAATTTTTTCAGTGTGTGTGTGTGTGTGTGTGTGTGTGTGTGTGTGTGTGTGTGTAGGGGAACCAGGAACTCCCCCTTTAATCAAAATGAAATATACTTATCCAAGTACCGTGGGTAATGTAGTTTCAGAATATATGTGGTTATGGGGGTCTATCTCCAAAACCCTAGGAGGAGTTTGATAATAAACATTCAAACAGACAGAGGCTACAACTTTATATGTATGTATGTATGTATGTCTGTGAGAAAAAGAGTTATCATAATTTAATTATAATTTGATTATTATAATTTTAAATAATATAAGAGGCTGAAGCCTTTATTATAATAAACAAGGATTTTCCAACAATATGCCGTACTGGGATAGTAAAATGAGGAATATAAAATTAAACAAAAATTACTCAAAAATGCATTAGCCTAATTTATCACGGTTTCTTACAGAACCTCTAGTGACCGTTTGCAGAACCATAGTATTCTGTGGAACATCAATTGAGAAACAATGAGTTATATCATAATTTGAGTTTATTTGCTAATTGTAAAAAAAAAAAAAAAATCTTATATGTGCATGTGCTCAAAAGTTCTGTTTCCCCAGTATATAAGATTCTGATGTTTGGCCAATGAAATATGAATTTTTGGAAAACAGGTTAACTTTCAAAGTGAAAGCTGAAATATTTAAGACATAATGAGGAAAGAAGGCTTGGAGAATTAAACACTCACAGGGAATATTTAACTCATGAGAAGAAGTGAGAAGAACAATAAGGTAATGGATAGCAGAATAAGGAACACTAAGACAAAGAGGTAAAGGAATAAAGTTACTTTTATATACCATGGCCTTTCAGAATATTGGTGATCATACATTTCCTGTCTTTTGTAGCTCTTAGAAAATGTTGTCTTTTTGCAATCTCCCCTAAACCCTGACAACCAGTAATACAAGCTTGTAAGGTAGCTTATGCACAATAATGCAAAATAAATAAATAAATAAAAGGTTTTCCAATAACTTGAACCGTTTTTAAATGTGAAATAAGTTTAAGTTTTTTCTTTTTCTTTCAGATTTAGCAACTTAAGTCTTTGGCAATTTCATCTATGGAAAGATTAACAATCAAACAACTTGTTAAAGTTTCAAGTGTGCAATTGGAAAAATTGTTCGTAAATTAAAACCAACTGGGTCAGTGGCAGATGTGAAAACATCACTGCATGCTCATTTATGCCGTTCAGCTAAAAACATTGGTGCAGTGCACAAGAATGTGGCTGAAAATCCAGACCCCTCTATTCGTCATCGTGTGCAGGAATTGAACCTCTCCACAACAACGTTACAAATTGCACTCTCAGTTGGTCAATTATGTTGACAGAAAAATTGCAAAGTGCACAAAATACATTTCTGTTTAAATGTCTATTTTCGTAAAAGGCTTCAATAACTTTACACTTTGGTTGATTGTTAATCTTTCTACGGTTGAAACTGCCAAATATCTTAAGTTGTTAAATCTGAAAGCAAAAGAAAATCAGTAGACGCTTAAACTTAATTCACATTTAAAAATCGGTCCAATTTATTTGAACACCCTTTAAATAAAAAATCAGAAGTTGTGGAGAGCTGTGTTTGCCAAAGTCCTGAAAGGATACGAGACATAAGTAGCAGTCAGGCTGACAGATTTTCAGCACCTAGTCACAGTAGATAAGAAAAAACAATTCATAAATATTGGAGAGTGAATGAAAAAAAAAAAAAAAAAAAAATCCCTAAATTGGTGATGACATTTTCAAGTATTCTCTGCTTTACAACTCTGTTGTAAATTTAAACTCAGTACATTATTTACATACTTGGCAGGTATTGAAACACTGTGTAATCTGAGTCAACACAATAATTAGTGTTGTAGCAATTGCATATCTTATGGGAGATGGCCATGAGGTGCTTTTTGTTTTCTGTTTTTTTTTTTTAACCTCAAGTCTTCTTCCCTAAACAATAATACATTGAATTTTCCAGTGGGAGGAATATTTAATATTTGATAACAGGTAGGATACATGGGCAAATAAGACCCTCACACACACATATATATATCTCAAATAAGTGTAGATAGGTTTGCCATATTAC